CTCCTCCTCCTCCTCCTCCTCCTGCTCCTGCTCCTGCTCCTGCTCCTGCTCCTGCTCCTGCTCCTGCTCCTGATCCTGCGTCTTCTCCCTCTACCTTCTCCTCATCCTCCTCCTCCTCATCCTCCTCCTCCTCCTCCTTCTCCTCCTCCTGCTGCTCCTGCTGCTCCTGCTGTTCCTGCTGCTCCACCTGCTCCAGCTGCTGCTCCTCCTCCCCTCATCCTCCTCCTCCCCGTCTTATTAGTATTAGTGTTCCTCGCATTAGTTGTCTCATTCGCATTCTTATTCGTATCAGGATTCCTATTATTATTCATATTCGTATTACGCGTCGTAGTATTATTAGTGTTCCTCGTGTGTGTCTTATTCTTCTTCGTAGTATTAGTATTAGAATTATTATTAGTACTATTAGTATTATTAATATTATTAGTAGTAGTATTATTAATGTTGTTATTATTATTATTGGTGTTGTTATTATTATTAGTATTATTATTAGTAGTATTATTATTATTAGCATTAGTAGTATTAGTGTTAGGATCACTAGTACTGGTAGTATTATTATTAGTATTAGTGTTAATAATATTGTGTATTGTTAGTATTATGATTATTAGTATTATTATGAGTACTAATAGTATTAGTAGTAGTACTATTATTAGTAAGATTAGTTTTAGTAGTAGTCGTTCTCGTAGTATTATTGGTGTTCTTTTTATGGTTCGTATGATTGTTCTTATTCGTAGTATTCTTATTAGTCGTATTATTATTATGCTTAGCATTCGTATTATGACTAGTCGTCTTAGTATTAGTATTAGTATTAGTAGTAGTAGTAGTATTATTAATAGTATTATTAATAGTATTATTATTTTTATTAGTAGTATTATTACTAGTATTACTATTATTAGTATTAGTATTATTATTATTCATCCTCCTCCTCCTCCTGCTCCTCCTCCTCCTCCTCCTCCTCCTCCTCCCCCTCCTCCTTCTCCTCCTCCTCCTCATCATCATCATCCTCCTCCCCTCCTCCCCCTCCTCCTCCTCCTCCTCCTCCTCCTCCTCCTCCTCCTCCTCCTCCTCCTCCTCCTCCTCCTCCTCCTCTTCCTCCCAGCGCATCCCAGCTCCCCCCCGCCCCAAAATCCATCCAGGAGGAGGGGCCAGGGCCCCGCCCCCTATCGCCCCCCCCCCTTCCCAGGCGCGCCTCGAAGGCGCCCGGAGGCAGCGGCCGCAGGGTCTCGTGGCCCGTGCCAGGCTGCGCCTGGCGAGGCGCGCGCGGGGCGGGCGCCCAAGGGCGGGCGAGGCGGGCAAAGCGAGGCGCAGGCGGGCGGAACAGCGTCCGTCGGGGAGCCCCTGGGAGGCCTGGTGGGGCTGTATCGGGCTGCCCTGGTCGGGGGTTGCCAAGGTGCCCCTGGCCCAGGGCAGCGCCAGCTTTTCACTCCATCTGGACCCCCATGGGGCCCTCTGGGCCTCGCGAGGGGTGCCTCTGGAGGACGAGGAGGCCTCCTTGGAAATCCTGGGGGCGCCTTGAGTCAGAGGCACTTCTCTGCGAGCTTCCTGGGAGCTCTCAGAGAGGCCACGGTGGGGGGCGTCTTGGGGCCTCGTGGGGCTGTCTGGGGAGCCATCCTGTCTCGAACTGTCGCTTCCTGCCCCCCCCCACCCGCCCCCCAGGGAGCCGCAGGGGGCCACCCTCACAGCGCCCCAGAAGCCCCCCTGGGTGCCCCCGGGCGGGCGGGCGGAGGGCCCAGATTCGAGTAGGAAGGCACCAACTATACACCAACACCGATCCTGGCCAGAATCACCCTGGGCCCAGGATCGGTGTATACGCCCTCCTGCCTTGCGCAAGAAGGCATATACACCGATCCTGGGCCCAGGGTGATCCTGGGCCAGGATCGGTGTTGGTGTATAGTTGGTGCCCTCCGATCGAGGATCGAGGGTCGACTTTTTGTTCGCACGCTCACCGAGACTCTCTGGCCTCAGGGTGCTTTCCAGAAGCTGCGCCTCGCCGATAGAGGAAATAGAACTATGCACATACACCGATTCTGGCCAGGCCCATCCTGAGCCCAGGATCGGTGCATACGCCCTCTTACCTTGGCCAGGAAGGTATATGCACCGATCCTGGGTCAAAAATGGACGTTGTCAGGATCGGTGCATGTGCATAGTTCTCTTCGCCGGAGCCGAGAGCGCTCTGGCGGCGCCCTGGTCGTCCCGACCCGCCGCCAGGACCCGAGTCAGAGCCATGAGCCGAGAACCCAGGAGCGGTCTCGAGCGGGGACTGGGGTGGGGACCAGGCACACACGAGAGACCCTCCCCGCGCCTGACCCGCAGCCCTGCGTGGGATGTGTCTCTGATGCACATCAGGGGGAAATAAGAGGAGGAGGGAGTACATGAGGTGAATGATAGGCGACACTAGAGCCAGAGCCTTGCGGGAGGAGGAGGAGGAGGAGGAGGAGGAGGAGGAGGAGGAGGAGGAGGTGCAGGAGGAGGAGTAGGAGCAGGAGCAGGAGCAGGAGCAAGAGCAGGAGAAAGAAGAGGAGGGAGGAAGGGCTCATACCCCTCCCTTCTCCATGTGAATATATACACGTATACACATATATGTATGTATACACCTATGCACCTATACACCTATATACATAGATATACATGTATGTATAGATGCATACGTGTATATATATATACACCTGTACACCTATACATCTATATACACCTGTACACACAGATATATATATATATATATATATATATACATCTATAAATATATATATATATATATATATACACACACCTATACATCTATATACACCTTCCACCTTCACATCCCGAGCGGGCCGATCCCGAAGTTGCGACTTGCGCTCGCACGCAGCAGGAGGTCGGGAATGTATGGGAAGGGACCAGGTGGGCTGCCCGCCCATACGATCGCACGGCATCTCCACCGCTGCTCTGCTCCGCCAGCGTGCCCCTTGTGGCACGAGGTGGCTGCGTCCCCCAGAACATGCGACGTCCTGAGTGGTGTCGGTACGGGTCCTGGGAGTCCCGACCCTTTCCCTGGACCTGCTCCTCGTCCCGAGTCGCTTTCTTGACGGTCCCCAAGCGCGAGGGCCCCCCCTGGCCGAGGTCGGCCTTAAAGCCCTCCCGTCGTGCACACTTTCTGCTGCGACGCGATCGCGTCTGGGGGGCCCAGGTGCCTGCTCCACCCCCTGGCCTCAGTCTTCAGATCTTCTTCGGGGCTTCAAGCCCACTGAAGGGCCCGACCCCTAATAAAAAGAAGGGCCCCGTCAAACCCCGGGGGGCCCGTCAACCCCGAGGGGCCCAACCCCGGCTCTCTCGAGCGAGTCTTCTTACGGTTCCCCGCGTGCCCCGCGGGGCCTCCCCGGAAACCTCGTCGCGCGCCTTCTCGGGGGCGCCCCCGGGCCCCCCCCCCAAGCCATGGACTTGCGCGCGGTCGCCAAATCCCTCGATCGGGGGCTCCCCCAAATGCGGGGGGCCGGTGCCGCCTCGTTGGCGGCGGAAATCCGCGATTCCCATGGGAAGCGGGACCCGTCCTAATCCACGCCGCTTGAATCCATATTTGTGATCGCCCGACTTTCGGCGATCAACGGGTGAATCGGGGGTCGATGCATCCCCCTAGTCGCTCCCCTCCCCTGGCTTAATCACTCCTCCTCCCTCCTCATCCTCTCCGTCCTCCTCCTCCTCCTCCTCCTCCTCCTCCTCCTCCTCCTCCTCCTCCTCCTCCTCCGCCCCCCTTGGTCCATGTTTGCGATCGCCCGGCCTGTGCTCTGGCCGCGGGGGGCCCCCTGCGGCGGGCCGCAGCGGGCCCCGGGAGGCCCGCCGGACGGTCCGAGGGGGCCCCGGGTCGCCGAAGGGGCGCCCCGAGGCGCCCAGAGGCTGTCTCGAGACGGCCCCAAGCTGCCCCCAAGACGCCCCCCAGAGTGAGGGGAAGGGTGGGGTTCACTTCGTTCGGACGCTCTCGAGCAAAGTGAGCCCCACCCTCCCCCTCAGAAGTCGTGGGGGGTAGGGGTAGGGTTCGCATGTGGCCCCCCAAAGAGGCCTCCACGAGGCCTCCCAAGAGGGCCCCAGGAGGCAAAAGTCACGGGTGTGCCATTGGTTCTTGTAAGAATGTGGCGCTCTCGCCCTTCCGGCCTCCCAGCGCTCCAAGACGGCTGAAGAGGCCCCCAAGATCGCTCCAAGATGGCCCAAGAGGCCGCACATGAATTCACCAACAGGGCCTTTGGGGGCCCAGACTGGGGACTCGAATGGACATTTCGAGCTCGGCCCCGAGAAGCCCCCAGGAAGCCCCCGAAGGCCCCCAAGAGGCCCCCAAGAGGCCCCAAGAGGCCCCAAAGAGGCCTCCAGGAAGCCCCAAGAGGCCCCCAAGAGGCCCCCAAGAGGCCCCCAAAAGGTCCCCCATGGGGCCCCCGAGAGCGCTCCGGAGAGGTCCCGAGAAGCATCCCTGAGAACTCTGACCCACGATCGAGACACGGTGGCGGGATGGGCCGAAGGCCATTCGATCAAGATGGTCCAAGACGGCGTCCAAGACGGCCCAAGAGAGTCCAAGATACCTTCAAGTTCGCCCAAGAAGCCTCCCTCGGTGGCGGGATGGGCCGAAGGCCATTCGATATGTCTCGATGTGAGTATGTGTGTGTGTCTATATTTGTGTAAATGTACCCACATACTAGTGTGCGTGTGTCCTGTCGGCTGTCGGCACGTGAAATGCTTTTCCGTTTGAGTCGGCATCGTCGTCGACGTCGCCGCTCCCCCTGAAGCGTTCCAGCCAACAGCCAGAGGGAAGTCGAGACGCGTCGCAATCGAGTCGACGGGAAGCCCGTTCCCTTTGATCCTTCCCCCGCCAGAGGGGCGGTTCTCGGGAGGGGGGCGGGGGGGTAGGAGGGGGTGGGGGGGGAGGGATCGTGGGGGTTGTGACCCCCAACCCTGGGGGGAGCACCTCTCCCTGGGAGAAGCTTTCGGCTCCAGAGCGTCAGCAGCGTCGTCGTCGTCGTGTTCGTCGTCGTCGTCGTCGTGCTCCTCGTACTCGTCGTGCTCGTCGGCGTCGTCGTCGTGTTCGTCGTCGTCGTCGTCGTCGTCGTCGTCGTCGTCGTCGTCGTCGTCCCCCTTCAGGGTCGGCGGCACCAGCTGTAAGGCCTTCGCAGTATACGCGAAGGCCACGACGTCAAAGGTAGTCGAGTAGTTGCGCTCACCCGCATATGTTCGAAAAGTGTCCCAAATGCGGTACGTACCTGCGGCCTTCCTGTATGCAAACGTTGCACGCTCTTGGAGCAACAATGGCAACGACCAGGTATCGAACTCGGCTAAAACGCACAGATGACAAAACCACACTGAAACTTGCAAACGCTATCACAGCAACTGCACTCGTTGGTATTACACAAATTCTGTACGTAGAGCAGCTACTGCATCTTCAAATCGTGCACACAGAACAACAAGTTGAACGCCTCATGCGTGCAGCATGCGCGTTCACCAGACGCACCAGCTGGGCTTGGCGCCCTGGCCGTGAGGAGGGGACGAGTCACAGCCGCCATCGGGCTGAGGCTTCAGGCACAGCTCCCGCGAGCCGCAGTAGCCCATCACGCACGAGTCCTCGTCGCCGCACCCGTTGAAGCAGCACCTCCCCCCCGTCGCGTTCTCGGCGGCCGGGGCCGTTGACGAGAGCTGCTGCGGAGCCGCGGCCGGGCACCAGCTGGGCTTGGCCCCGTGGCCATGAGGCGGGGACGAGTCGCAGCCGCCATCGGGCTGAGGCTTCAGGCACAGCTCCCGCGAGCCGCAGTAGCCCGTCATGCACGAGTCCTCGTCGCCGCACCCGTTGAAGCAGCACTTCCCCCCCGTGGCGTTCTCGGCGGCCGGGGCCGTTGACGAGAGCTGCTGCGGAGCCGCGGCTGGGCACCAGCTGGGCTTGGCCCCGTGGCCATGAGGCGGGGACGAGTCGCAGCCGCCATCGGGCTGAGGCTTCAGGCACAGCTCCCGCGAGCCGCAGTAGCCCGTCACGCACGAGTCCTCGTCGCCGCACCCGTTGAAGCAGCACTTCCCCCCCGTCGCATTCTCGGCGGCCGGGGCCGTTGACGAGAGCTGATGCGGAGCCGCGGCCGGGCACCAGCTGGGCTTGGCCCCGTGGCCGTGAGGCGGGGACGAGTCGCAGCCGCCATCGGGCTGAGGCTTCAGGCACAGCTCCCGCGAGCCGCAGTAGCCCGTCACGCACGAGTCCTCGTCGCCGCACCCGTTGAAGCAGCACCTCCTCCCCGTCGCGTTCTCGGCGGGCCGGGGCGTGGACGGAGAGCTGTCTGCGGAGGAGCCCGCGGCCGGGCACAGCAGCTGGGCTTGGCCCCGTGGCCATGAGGCGGGGACGAGTCGCAGCCGCCATCGGGCTGAGGCTTCAGGCACAGCTCCCGCGAGCCGCAGTAGCCCGTCACGCACGAGTCCTCGTCGCCGCACCCGTTGAAGCAACACTTGCCCCCCGTCGCGTTCTCGGCGGCCGGGGCCGTTGACGAGAGCTGCTGCGGAGCCGCGGCCGGGCACCAGCTGGGCTTGGCCCCGTGGCCATGGAAGGCAGGACGATTCGCAGCCGCATCGGGGCTGAGAGCTTTTCAGGCACAGCTCCCGCGAGCCGCAGTAGCCCGTCACGCACGAGTCCTCGTCGCCGCACCCGTTGAAGCAGCACTTCCCCCCCCTCGCATTCTCGGCGGCCGGGGCCGTGGACGAGAGCTGCTGCGGAGCCGCGGCCGGGCACCAGCTGGGCTTGGCCCCATGGCCATGAGGCGGGGACGAGTCGCAGCCGCCATCGAGCTGAGGCTTCAGGCACAGCTCCCGCGAGCCGCAGTAGCCCGTCACGCACGAGTCCTCGTCGCCGCACCCGTTGAAGCAGCACTTCCCCCCCGTCGCGTTCTCGGCGGCCGGGGCCGTTGACGAGAGCTGCTGCGGAGCCGCGGCCGGGCACCAGCTGGGCTTGGCCCCGTGGCCATGAGGCGGGGACGAGTCGCAGCCGCCATCGGGCTGAGGCTTCAGGCACAGCTCCCGCGAGCCGCAGTAGCCCGTCACGCACGAGTCCTCGTCGCCGCACCCGTTGAAGCAGCACTTGCCCCCCGTCGCGTTCTCGGCGGCCGGTGCCGTTGACGAGAGCTGCTGCGGAGCCGCGGCCGGGCACCAGCTGGGCTTGGCCCCGTGGCCATGAGGCGGGGACGAGTCGCAGCCGCCATCGAGCTGAGGCTTCAGGCACAGCTCCCGCGAGCCGCAGTAGCCCGTCACGCACGAGTCCTCGTCGCCGCACCCGTTGAAGCAGCACTTCCCCCCCCTCGCATTCTCGGCGGCCGGGGCCGTGGACGAGAGCTGCTGCGGAGCCGCGGCCGGGCACCAGCTGGGCTTGGCCCCATGGCCATGAGGCGGGGACGAGTCGCAGCCGCCATCGAGCTGAGGCTTCAGGCACAGCTCCCGCGAGCCGCAGTAGCCCGTCACGCACGAGTCCTCGTCGCCGCACCCGTTGAAGCAGCACTTCCCCCCCGTCGCGTTCTCGGCGGCCGGGGCCGTTGACGAGAGCTGCTGCGGAGCCGCGGCCGGGCACCAGCTGGGCTTGGCCCCGTGGCCATGAGGCGGGGACGAGTCGCAGCCGCCATCGGGCTGAGGCTTCAGGCACAGCTCCCGCGAGCCGCAGTA